GGGCGGCAATCTCGACGAGATAAGGCGGTCCGTACACAGACTTATTTCGGGCGTGCGTTCAATTAGAAACCGAGACTTCATTATCTCGTTTCCCGCGACCAAAGCGATCCACGCTAAAATTCACGGCGGATCTCCTTTACCTTTGTGAATCGCAAAATTTTCCCTGTACCCATTCTGGCCGCGCTAAGTACACTTTATCGGGAGCTCCGCCGATTCCCGCAGCACGGAACGTTTGAAGTTCGCTCGCGAAGGTCCGTTAATAAGTAGAACTCTGATTCTGTCGCGTCAAAGCGACATTTCGGCGGGTTTTCGTCGGTATTTATTTTAATGGCAAGTAGCCGAGGCCCTTAACAAAGTAAATATTGGAGGGACGCCTGTGGCGCGTCGTTCTCTCAATTAAAATTCGGACCGAAATTCTAAACAGCGTATGTTTAACCGAAAAAATTCCCTACGTGACTCTGTGCGTTTTTCGTTAACCCAGATTTGGAAAAATGAAACGCGACGGAGCCGGTTGGAAGGTGGCTGCTGATAACGTTGCGCGATACCTTGATGGAATTTGTTCATTTATAGGTTTCTGGAATCGTGTCGAAAGTCTATGTAATATGCATTAGTAAGTATAAGGAGAAACGGTCGGCCACGATCAGACGCGCCGGCATATTCCACGAGCCGCGTACGTGGCAAACATTTAAACCTGATTACCTCGGGAACGAAGTATCGTATGGAAAAACTTCCTGCTGGTATCATCCTCGAGTAACACCGCCATTTAAACAAGAAACTTAATAAAACCACCGTAAAACCGACACCGAAATCCCATCAAATTCCTCCGCATCTAATATTGATCTACGCAATTGAATCTAATTATTCCAACAACGAGATACTAATTCCGTAACTTCGTTCTCCACTATCCAGAGCTTCCAACTATAACTCACAAATTCCCACAACACCAGCGAGATCTCTAGAAATTCGAAAACCTCGGAACTCCACTGGTTAACTCCACTTTCCCCGACGAAAACTCCATTGTCCGATGATCGAATGAACCGCAAGAAACCATACACAAAAGACCGACGTCTGTCGCAAAGTAAGCGTAACGGGACACCCGAATGAATGAAATCCAGGTTTCCGCGTGCAAGAGCCGCCGGCGATAGATTCCTATCGGTTCGGAGACGTCGCATTCAATTAGAAGTCAGTCTCTTCCGGGAAGATTGCGTGGGAGTTCCAAGCGGCGAGCGGGGCGCGGCCGGTTTCATTATCTCGTTGCCCGTCGCAATGAGAAAACGAGAAAGAGAGAGAGAGAGCTCGCGCGAGCGAGCACGCAATGAAATTTTCTACGAACGGTCCAGCGATCACGTAGCGGCAATAGAAGTAGCGTGCGAATTGTTCGTCGGCGACCTTCCTATTGATTTCCACCTGCGTCGGTTTACCTTCTCCCGCCCTCCCCTGCCCTCGATCCTCTTGTTCATGTTCCCATCCGCGGTCCCGCCTGCATCCGAGCGCCGCGACCGCGCAATTATTGCGTGACGAGGCTGCCGCGCGGACGAAGACGAATAATGCGCCGATAACCCCGTGAATATCCCGGAGAAGAATCACGGCCGTGAAAAGCGCGACCGTTTCCCGCCGGTTTTCGACGAGCGCCGCGAAATCCGCGGTACCCGGGCCGGCTTCTATGGCCGTTGCTCGCGACGCCGTGACATTTTTGCACGCGTACGTGACGGCGAACAAACAGCCGCGGTAAGATACCTCTCGCTCTGATTTCTCGTCCTGAACGAGCCTCTCGACCGTCCCAGCCGTGAATCGCGATTAGGTATCCGTCCACCGGACCAAGAGGCAGTCTGTCTTGATAATATTAATTCGAACGCGAACCCTCTCGGCGTTGACCCTCGCGCGGATCCTCCGCGGTAATTGCCCGTAACGCGGAATGTTTACACGGGCATACGGGGCCGTGAAAATGCGGCTTGATGGCACGGGAAACGTGTTTTCCGCGTCGGTGCGCGCACTTTCTGACCCGCAATTATGAAACACGGAATTTCGTTGCGAAGCGTTGGCTCCGTGTGCGTTCGGGGGAGGTTCTCGCGAGCTTCCTGGCGAGCGAAGACAACGGGGACGAAAGAAGTAGCGGCCCGCTTTTGAATCGTCGAGTGTGCTCCGGGCTTTGGGGGATCAAAGGCGGCCGCTTTGTTTCCTCAGGTTTGTTCTTTTCGGTTTAGGGAAAAGAGCCGCGTGCTTCAAGTCGCGCGGCAGATTTTCGTGGCTCTCCTTGAACTCCTGGACGAACGAATCGCGGCGTCGCATTTATTCTTTCCAATTTAGAGCGGAACTTTCCAAAGGGGGACGTTCTTAGAAGGATACAATGGAACGTCGGAGGAAACTTTTCATGTAAAACATCGCGAGGAGGAGCGAGAGGGAAGTTTGCCGATTCAATTATTATATAATATATGGAAATAAACGTTTTAAATGGAAGAAAAGAAGATCGTCGGTATTAGCGGAGTCAAAGGACCGTTGCGAAGTAAAAAATGAACTGCGTCACGATAAATGACGAGTACTGGCTTTACATTGTGCTCAATAAAGCTATGATAAAAATAGACGGGACAATCCGCTTACCAGCGCGAATTCGTTAAAACAAAGAGCTCGCGGCCCGTTGTATCGGGCACCAAAAGTTTAACGGAATTTTTAGCTTAAACGATCGATCAGCTTGATTAATCGCGATTCTCCGGGCGACGAGTTCTTCCCTCTGTACATTCAATTACGCGTACCAATTAGCCGGTGCAATCGTTAGACTTTTTCCCGGCGGGGGGCAAAACATTTATTTCACGGGCACCCGGAATCATTACTTTTTCCAATTATAAGGACGACAGCGCGGCCTCTTCGTTAGGGGATGCAAGAAAGTTCCGGCTTTATAGTTTTCCATTGTGGAGAAATTCCGCGAAGTAGACACATTTTTCAGCCGGCGAGAGAGAAGAAACTTCGGCCGGTGTCCGCGCGCAGAGAAAAACAGGGGGAGAGAGAGACGCCATGAAAAAGTATCGCGAACGAAAGCCCAGCGTTGCTCGGTTAATTTCCAGAGTCCCGGCCCGACAAAGCGCTGCGAGGTAAAGCTACTTTGGTTAACGAAGGTAATCGCGGATAACTCGCCTCGCAACTTCCGAACTCGGATTCTCGAAGAACGAAGGGATTCTGATCCGTCGTCGATCGTCCCCTTTTCCCTCTTAAATTCCATTATCGCTGGAACGAAGACATCTACGTCGATTTTGATCCAATTTCCCATAGACTCCATCTCTTCCAGTGATCGACTTGACACGTGAAAGATCGCTCGCGTAACTCCCCGGTCTTGTCAGCGAAACGTGAGGAGGTCACGAGATTTCGTATTATACTTGTTAAAATATTAAGAAACAAAGGGAATTATTTTATAAAAGTATGACACAGCTGAGGATCTGAATATATCCGAGTCCTCGAAAAGGTCCACCTTTCAAGGTACGGAATCGATACTCGACGACGAGGTCCCTTTAATTATTTCCAGTTTCCCCCTGGTCTACTTGCCATCCACTTTGGATGAAATAAAATATCATTGTGCCGCGTATAATGCGAGTTATTAGCATGTTATCGTGCCCCGCGGATGCTTCTGCCGGAGACAATGCGTCGAAAGAGACAGCGGGACGGTATCCGGCGAGGAAGAGTTAAAAATCCCGTGTCGCCAGGCTCTTCAGCTTTTAATCTCATTTCAACCGAAGGATGAACCTTCTGTTAGGCCGAGCCCGGACAAAAACGCGGACCGCTCTTCTTACTTCAATTAAATCTTCCTTCGGTATCCTTTGTGTGTATCTTTACCCCCGGCTCTTGTCCGTACTCGTAATATCTGGGCCGAATTAAAAGGATCCACACCGCGGAGCGGATACAACGCTTAGCGGACCACTTACACGGTGGAATAAATCTAACGTGCATAATCCCGTGGAAAATCGTACGGCGGGGGATTAACGTCGCGGTTTTCGAGATGATTCGTCAGCTGACGCCGGGTTTTATGCGTCTGCGGCGCACGTCGATGCGACGAGCGTGATGCGGGTCGAAGCACCCGGATGCGCCCGGGAATGTTCTTCTTTTCCTCTCGAGAAGAGAAAATTCCAGAGGGATTCACGGAATTTCAACCGAAAATAACGAGATTAATATTCGGCTCGCGGACATTTATTGTGCAACTTATTTTATTGTCGTTAGAAAACAGATGTTCGTGATGATGGTTCACTTAGATTTTGGAAATCGGAGGTTCGAGAATGGATAATTGAAATTAAGGTAATTGTATGAATTAAAATCGACGTAACCTTTGCTTCTAGATGATGAATGTTTAGGGAGATCTAGGAATGTCTGTGATCTATTGTGTAGAGATGATACGATCTTTAATCAAGCTTCACATTCGAAATAATAACGACGAAGAGGAATGTACCGAAAACAATAGTACCCCTCAAAAACAGAATACTTCGGAAAAACGCGAATGCAATTTGACGAGAAAGCTTAAACAATTGTTGCACAGCGAGAATAAAAGCGATATTGTTCGCAGAGATAATAATAAACATCGCTGCAATGCTGCAGGCAAAAAATGGGATTAAAATATACCAGCCTCCTCTCCCGCGTAGTACACGCTCCCTTTAAACAATACCCCCATTGAAATCACTTACATGGACGTCTCGAAACTGACGCGACCTCCGCGAACTTCATTTCTATAACCCGCAGAGAAATCAATACACCGTGCCCTCGGATGGAAAAAAAAGGGTAAGACCTTATAAATCATCGGCGGACAGAAGAAACGAAATAAAATCAAATGGAAGAAACGACGAAAACAAAAGAGGAGAAGCGTTCTCGCCCTCGGAGAGTCCCTAAAGGACGACCATGTATTACGCAGATATGATAATAAGTTTCCACGTCCCGTGGGACCAAGGGAATCGTCCCGAAACCTAGCGGGTAACGCTTTCGGTGGAAACTTTCCTGAATAATAGCCGCTCGGCTGAAAATCTCACCATTCCGTCGCCGAGGTTTTGGACGTCGCACGGGAGCAACGCTGTGGAGCCGAGTTGCGCGGAGATCATCGTCGAATTTTCGGTCCGGAAGTTCATCGGCAGAGTCGGCGGCAGGTCGACGTCCAGCGGCATCCCCGTCGCTTCCGGGTCCAGCGAGTTCGAGTTCGCCGCGACTATCTCTGCGGTGACCGCCGTCGGATACTCTGAAAAATAGGCATTAAATCAAAGCGATCGCCCGAACAAGCCTTAAGCCCGGCCAACGGCAGGCAACGCTGTACCACTAGGGGATCCTCGTTAAGAGGCTTTCCCCCGGACTTTACTTAACCCCTTTCCACCCCGGCTATCACCGCGTCAAATATTTATGCGCGTCTCGTGCCCGGCAGCCCCGGAAAATTGCTACAACGATTGTTCATTTTGCTCTCCGCGATGTTTGCCAGCCTGGGAGCTACGTAAACCGACGCGGAACGATCCCCGACGCCTTTAACGGATTTACTCTTTCGAATTTTCCGCGACTATACCTCGGCGCTAGGTGTTCTTGAGCCTTGTCAGTGAGTTTTTTGTATCAACCCTTCACGGAGTGGAAGTGTCTCAAATTTACTGGAGAATATTGTAACATATAAGAAATTCGTAGTGACCTAGTACGGTATTCAATAGTGTTAATTATAAATATTACTATAATAACAGTAATAGAAATGATTATTATATATTTAAGCATTCAGTATTAAATTTCGCAGAATCTGTATGGTTTCGTATGCTTTACAGAATCTTCGTCAAAGGGTTAGGAATTACAGGAAAGAGAAGAGACAATTATAGAGCATTTCCGATGTAACTATAATGAACGTTGTTTAGCGATATGTTTCCGTTGAGAATTGTTTCGCTGAATAGCGGACCGGAAAGACCAATATTAAGCTTTGAACCAAGAATCGCCCGTATGTGGGTGACGCGGCACTCAAAGCTTTAGCCTGTAACGGGGCCAACCCTAAACGCCCTGTAACGCTGTTAATATTCTTGTTTGATCCTGATCGGCGTTCGCAACAAGGTAACAATCTGTCCCTGGGAAATATCGAGCAACCCTTCCATCAATTCCGCCCCTGCCCCGGTCGACAGTTTGTAGTTTTAACGCGCTCTCTATTAGCCTCGCGCCGGGAGCCCCGGCGTATCGTGTCTGAATCAAAACAAATGTTGATGAACGACGACGCGAACACGATCCAACCGCAAGGAAATTCCCGGACAGACCTTCGATGCGCCGGTAATTTTAGTGTTGGACAAGATGGATGCGATGATCGTTCTTTGTTCCGGCCGCTGCGCTATCGGGATCATAAACAATTCCGCACGGTCGCGTCGCCCAAATAAATATCGTGACATTTTTCAGACTTTCCCGGTCTGAAAGTTTCCACTCATTCGTCTGTCACTGGCAAGATTTCTCTCTTGATAAATCTTCTCTTGACTTAGGCAGCGTGCATTCCGGGAGATCTATTTAAACTTTGGGTATTAGAAATGGAACCTGCGATGACAGCCATTTATGGACTCGAGTGGATAAAATGATAATTGATAAGAAAAATGGGTCTCAATATCTATAACGATATTTCTGAAACTAGTTAATTTAGTCCTTTGCGTGCCTTACGTGTTCACTTGTCTTCATTATAAAAACTGTTGCAGTATCTCGAAATGAAAGCCAACACATTTCCTTTTACAAGTTAATGAGATCGTTTGTCTCTCCGGGCAGAAAAGTTTGGACTCATTCGGCGATCTCCGTGGGAAAATGTTGCTTTTGATAGATCTTCCCTTGACGCGAAGGTAACGCATTCAGAAAGAACCGCCTGGGTCCTTGCTTTTTACTTTTCGCAAATTAACGAGATTATTTGCGGTTACTCATTCATTCGGAGGGTCCTTCGAGATGTACTTGCCGCAGACAGATCGCCATGATTTTTATTCACAATGGGGAGGCGGGCCCACTTTCAATTCCTCGCCCGGCCTTCTATTCATGTTACCCGCTCACCCAAGGTGCTAGAAGCTAAGGGTCAAAGGGAAAAAAGATCTACCTCGGCCTGCCTCTGAATTACGACCCTTCGATGCCTAAAATATACGAACAGCATTACGAGCGTCGCTATATTTATTCCAGGACAGCGAGGTCCTCCTCCCCGGCTGCAATAAAATACCTGTGATAAAGTACATCTGGCGAGTGATGTAATTCCCATTCAGAAGATCTTGACACCTGAAGACACGTCGCTTTACCGGGATAAATTATTTCCCCGGGAACCAGCGCGGACAAGAATTCCCTTGAACGCCGATTCAGGGATGAAATAGCTCGCGAGCGATATATCAAGCAGAAATAATCAAAATCGCTGTTGCCGGATAAAATGGAAGCACGGGGTATCAGAATGTAAATTTGCTGATACTTCGAATCCGCGTTTCACCGTGAAAAGAGAGGCTCGCCTCAAACGTTTGAAATTCGGGATCGATCGTTCCCGCCCCGCCCCGCCCCGTCCGCGGCTCAAACGCCGGCAGTCTACGAAATATGAGATTGATTCCGTCGGTTCGTCGTTGATTAGTTTACAGACCGCCGGGGCGCAGTGGCCACGCAACGGAGAATGTCATCGGATATCGGGGAGGGGGCATAAAGTAAAGTTCGCGGTACCTGCAATTTACCTGTCAAGGCATTACCATGAACACAGCGGCGCTCTGGACCCGTAGCCTCGCGTAATCCGCAGTTGTCGGAGTTTCCGGATTGCACACTGGGCACGAATAAATTAATTCCTCCCGTTCGGAGGACCCCGGAACGCGTGTTTCGTCGCGGTCAGCTCCTCCGCTCGAATAATACGCCTTGTTTTCGTCCCCGTGTACGGAAACACGATCGCCGAATCATTCTAATGACAACACCGACGCGAACTCTGATCCCGGTTGGCCCTGGAAACTTCGCCGACCGCGAAAAACTCAACGTCATCGTCCTCCAACCGAGCGACAGCGGATCGTTCGCGACCTCCGCGCCGGCGACGGGTATATTAACCGAAAAGATGGGGCCGAGAGATTGCGGAGGAAACTTTCTGGTGTGTATATATTAATTAAATCGCTCCAGAGCGCGTGGAAACTCCCCGCTCTGATGCAGTCGCGTTGCTCAGCCATAAATCTGCGAGGGAGATTTTTGTGGAAGCTGAGTGGAGACATAAGCGAATGCAGAGTCGTAATTTCTAGCGACTGTCTTGGCCAATTTGTCCGTCGGAAATTTTTAAGCTGGGATTACCGTATTAGCCGAAATGATTGAATTTCCTTATTTCCCAGGTAATGGGGTCGTGAAAATTTTGAACTTCGTTTTCAAATTGGTAGATTAATTTCGGTGATACGTAGCAGATGTGAACGTTAAACCTTCAACATGTGAAGCTAAATTGTATATCAATTGCTTAATTAATAGAAAGAAAACTACGTGCTGATCTTTGTTTTTCGACTAATTAGATAATTTCCACGACTTAGTCTTCCAAATCTGAACATTTCATCTCACCGAAATGCTATAAATATCCGAGAAGTTACTATCAGACTTATATAAGCTTCAAAAAAGTTCAACAAGACACACCTCCGTTTAACGCAATCAATATAGGTCTGTAACAAGCGTATAACTCCTTCCCGCCGGAGAAAAACTGATATGAAACGTGAAATAACGCTGACAAGCGGTGTCAGCGAAAAACCCGTGATCCGCGCTGGTCCGAGAGGAGACGACGCGGATAATTATGCGTGTCATTTGAATTCCGTCTCGCCGGATTCCCGGTGCTCGTCCAGGTGTCGCGGGATCACGG